GACTTTTGATACTTCAACCTGCATTTCGCCACTGTGGCATGCTGTCTTCAGGGTGTTGTCCTTTAGGAACTCCAATATGTTGTTTACCCACATGAACCAGGATCTTTGGCCAAGTTACGTCTCCCGGAATGCACCAAGAGTTCTGTCTCTCTTGTGCTTGCTGCACAGGCAGGTAGGAGGCACGCCTGCGTAATGTGGGGGAGGAACTGCATCCTCTTCTGAGGAAGGGCTTGGGATCCTCTGAAAAGAGTGGGGGCTGTAGGAGCTGGGAGGAGAGGCCATCATGTCACCTTTTGTAGGAAACGGAAGTTAAATTGGTTTTGAATTACGTTAAAGCAGAGTGCATTGAATTGCTTTAAATATCATGTTGACATGTTCCAACTCAGATCAGACAAAGAATGAAGAAATATTGATTTAATCAAAACTGTCTTAGTGATAAGAAAATACTTTGTTTGAAAAGTGTCCGACAACATTTACATTTAATAAGTAGTTATCTTTGTTGCCTATACTTTCCTGCCTGCCTCTGTAACCCTGACTCTAAAGTGTCACTGGTCCGAGTAAAACGCAACATAAGGGCTACTGCTCCAGTCCAAGCACTTGATGTGCTGGTGGCCTTGGCTTTTCCATAAATCTTCTTTACACTGTTGTCAATGAAGTATTAATTCTCATCTTTCTGCTTCTTAAAAATACTGAATGGCTTTTGATGTAAGACTAGCCTGAAGATCAACCTCTAGGTAGTGTCCTGCCTTGAAATGACAATAGTGAATGGGTAAAGAATAATAACATAGCACAGGGTGAGTCTTCCTTTGGCATACACTTCTTATTACTGGGAAACAGTAAATTAAGAGCTTCCTGAGCTACAGTTTGCGCTCAGTATTTAGTGGAGGGACTGGATGAATTTATGAACTATAGATCCATTATAGATTACTATGTGATGTGGCAATATGTTCTGCAACTTGGTTTTATTTTTGAATGAAAATATCATTTTTTACTATGTATCCCCTGCTTTTTGTGGTTGTTGTTATGGGAAGTGTAGGAAATATTTCCTATTCATTTTCTTATTCATCATTTCATATACCTCTTAACCTTATTCATCTCTTCCCTAGACTGAAGCATCAGTCTGTTTATTTTTTTCCTTCTTTGAAAACAGTTACAAAGTTCTGATAGTTCTAGTCACTTGAGATTATCTGATCTCAAAAAAAGATGGAGAGACAACTGCACATGCGATGTGGATACTATTCAGGTTTATACCGTGCGGTACTTGAGGAATTCAAGCAAACTTTTTAAAGTTCATTAATTGTATTTTTGGGTTTTCCAGGTTGGAAAAAGGTCTTGTCCCCAGAGTACAACATTTTAATGTTTGTGAGGAGTTGTTTAAGCAAGAAGAACCCAGTGGCACTGGGAAGCGCAAAAAATGGCATTTTAGATTTATTTTGGGGGGAGGTGGGGTAGGATGAAATAGTTGGAAAAAGGGTAAGACAAAAGCAAATGCAGAAGGCCACCGGTCCTCATAAAGATCTGTGTAGAGGCTTTGAGATGTAAGTCCTGTTTCAGCAGAGGATTCAGTTTTACACGGAGTAGCTCAGCTTACCGATCCTTGCACACAGCAGGAGTTCAGAAAAGAAGCCCCTTGGAGTACGGCTGTTCTAGGAAGCTGGATTGCGAAGTTGTTTGTCTTGTTTGTCCACCCCCACCCATATAAAACATCAGCATGTCCATTCCATAGACACTGAAGGTTTTGCTGACTGCATTTAAAATTTAATTTCAGCTGTTTAGTTTAGGAAATTTTTGAAGGCTTTCTCTTTAATTCTGGATATTACCACTTTCATTCTTCAGAACTGGCTCTCTTTGATAAAAAGAATGACAACAATTTAATTTTATATTTGTATTACTGCTCTGTAGTACAAAGTAAATCCTCTCCCCCAGTAATCAGTAACAGTTAAAAATATTTTCAATTAACATTATTAAAATGATAAATAGTACTGCAAAATGTACTTCCATGGTCAGTCGTTTCCATCTTCTTCCTCCTAATTTTGTCTGTCAGACTGAATTTATCTAAATTTGATTGCAACTTTTAATAGGATGTTTTTTTAAGGCTTAATATTTTTTTTTCAAGTGAGAACTTACTCCACTTTGTTGGAAGAACTTCCCTAATTTGTGACAGTATTCTGAATTCTCAGTTTCCCTCCCTTTTTACGTAAATACACTTATCACCCTTCTTCAAAATATAGTCTATTCATGGTGAATGGACTGCCCACCATGGTATCCAAATACCCCCTTACCCACACTGATGGTCACAACTAAAACAGCAGTAGTAAGCGTTCCACTGTAAACATGTGCTGCATTAGAAAAACCCTCTGAGGGAAAAGGAAACACTGGTGAATCTGATGTCTTTTGAGGGGATGCAGGGAGGGAATGGTGGTGTGGACTGCAAACTGGATGTCTTGGTCTAGATAGGATACTGGCACTTAGAAAGCTGTGAAGGTGTAAAAGAACCGGCACAACTTACGCAGCAGTGTTTTAGGGTGTAAAGAGGCAGACTGAAACAGTTGTGTTATAGCTAAAGGCACCAAAAAGCTTACACTTCTTCTAATACTCACATTGCATTCAACAAAAGTGCTGTTGCTCTCCTAATGTTAAGCTGAAAAGCAAAAGGCAAAATAAATGTGTGCTCGAGCAGTAGTTGGTCTGCGAAAGTGCATCTCATATCCTGCCACAGACTGGTAGGTGGGGAAAAAGCATCCCACTGTAAGTTACGGCGCTGTTAGCAGGGTGTCTGTAAGGTACATGCACACAGAGGCGTTCACAATCCTTTAGAAGAAATAAACCGGTTTACTCCCAGATTTCTGTTTGAAAGTAACACTCACTGTTTGTGTATGGTGGAAACTGAAATGAAATTTCATATTCATCAGCAACTTCATCTGTTAGGATTAAAGAGAAGTCTGTTTCACTTCCCTTTCTCCTCGCTCCAGTGAGATGTCACAGAGTTCTGGAAGCATCAAGAAGAATAATTTCATTCAGAATTAGGAAAGTTTGGCTTTGGGGGGGGGGGGTGTTTGTTGTTGTTTTTTTTTTGAAACAGAACTCTCTGAATGAAGATTTCAATCTGGCCTTTGAGTAATTATTTCTAAATGTGAGATGACAAGTTAAAATGACGTTGTGCCTGCAGAACAATAATAAGCACTTTTACGTAACCCTTCTTGCATTTATGGGGTCCCTTGCAAAATTTTGTTTCTTTTGTGTTCTGGAGTGGGAAGGTTTCATTTTTTCTTATCCTCTGTTAGCTGTTAGAAAGCAAGACTTCTTTAAACATGCAGTCAGGGTAAGGAATACATAGAAAAAGAGACAAAGTCCTAATCCTTTGTTTTGACACCACGTTGTACTTGATAACTGTGAAAGGATTCATGTCATAAAACAAAAGATTAAAGCCGTTGAGTAAGAAAAGCGTTTGAAGGAGACAGACTTTTCAAGACTGTGATATCATCCTTGTGTAATTGAAGACATCTCAAAAACAAGGAGCCGAAGACAAACACATGCAAGCAAGAAATTGGAAGGATTTAGTTCATACACTTTCCAGTATACTATAAAATGTAATGAATTAATCTTTAAGAATTCTTGATTATGCAATTAATTATCTTTAATACTTATATAAAATTTGTAATTATTTTCGTGCATATAAACTCAGTATTCAGGCTTTAAAGTAATCTCCAAAAATAATGCATTGCTTCAGGTCACTTCCTCATCTGATTTTTTATTTTCAGGTTGAGGGACTCAGGGTTAAATTTCCTTGGTGTTCATAACAAACCCATATAAGCCATGCTGCTACAGAACTGTAGCATTTTTCACTATAATTCCACATTCTTGTTATTCCAGAAAAACTCACCACTGCTGTATCTCCCCTTACTTTTTTTCCCCCCCTGCTCTGTCCCACTTCCATCACATAAGCATATGATTACACAATAAATCAGCTGAAAACCAAAACATTTTTGGATGTATTTGTGTTTAGGCAGATCCATTCACCAGTTAAATTCATAACATTGCTTCTTTCTGGAAAAGGAAGGAATCGGCTATGTTCTTTAACAGACCCAAGCTGTTCCAGATTCAACAGAGTATTAAATAAAGGTGTTTGTAGTCATGGATTATAATGAGAGCAAGGAAGGTTTTTTTCTAAGATCTTGTCTGTTGAAGGGCAAAAAACTAAAATCTTACATTCCCCCAGAAAAGTAATACATGCATTACTAACATGCCTTTAAAAAAAAAGTCCAAAAGATTTTAAGAGGAAAGCACTTTTTAAAAGGAAACAATGTTGAAGGAACAATTAAAGGACAAATGAAGGTGTCCCTGCCCATGGCAGGGGGGTTGGAACTACATGATCATTAAGGTCTGTTCCAACCCAAACCATTCTATGATTCTGTGATATTTAACTTTAAGTAAAGCTTAACTGTTTTGCGTGATTTCAGATTTTAAAAAAAACTTTCTCACATTGATGGCATGACTAATCTCACTCAATACAATGAAAAGCATAGCCCTAAAATCAAAGTCTAAATGAATCAGTGATACATATCTTGGTAACTGATTTGTAATAATAAACGTAGCAAGGAAAAAGCTGAACCGTTGTGTCACTCAAGTCGCAAGGTGGCAGGCTCAGGAACTGCCTGACAAAGTACAGCGGTTCGGACAGTTTCCAGGAAATCCCTTTACAGAATCATTAGTGCTTTCGATTGCATCTAGATTTGTGCATTTGTTTTAGAGATTCAATTCTGTTGTCTGTAGCACGACTATAGAGGTAACAATAATCAATTAATTTAGCTTGATTTTTGAGAAACTAAAGAGATAAGACTAAATCCTGTGCTGAGTAGCACTAATTGTACTTTATGGTGCTGAAGTGTTAAAAATGCTGTCAAAAACTATCACAAAAGACCTGTAATGTGCAAACATATTTTTAAAGGTATTTTTTAAAACATTCAAGTTAACCGCTAGCTATTTTGAATTTTCAGGTGATACTGGACATTGACAACAGATGACTAGATTAATTGCCAGAACCTGAAAAAAGCAAAAGGATTTATTTTTAAAGAAAATCCTAAATTCAAAAGATTTTCAAAAAGTGTGACTATTTCTAGAAACAGATGGACTCTTGGCAAGGAATTTGCAGCCTAAATTCTTTGGATGCAG